GCCACCACAATAGATTTGAAAGGAAACAATCAAGATGTGCTTTAAGTGTAGACTTTCATCTTTACTTTAAGGGTTTTGTCAAAATTATTGTATGAACCGTGTAAGAATTACAACAATTTTTATACATAGCCCCCCAATTTTAGGGGCTTAAAAGTAATTAAACAAACTAACATAATCATAAATTAAATTGTGAGTTTTAATACTTGGTTGCAAATCCTTTGCAGTCAATGACTGCCTAAAGTCTGGAACCCATAGACATCACCAGATGCTGGGTTTCTTCCCTGGTGATGCTCTGCCAGGCCTTTACTGCAGCTGTCTTCAGTTCCTGCTTGTTCTTGGGGTGTTTTGCCTTCAGTTTTGCCTTCAGCAAGTGAAATGCATGCTCAATTGGACTCAGGTCAGGTGATTGACTTGGCCATTGCAGAACATTCCACTTCTTTGCCTTAAAAAAGTATTGGGTTGCTTTTGCAGTATGCTTCGGGTCATTGTCCATCTGCACTGTGAAGCACCAGCCAATGAGTTTTGAAGCATTTGGCTGAATCGGAGCAGATAATATAGCCCTAAACACTTCAGAGTTCATCCTGCTGCTTTTGTCAGCAGTCACATCATCAATAAATACAAGGGAACCAGTTCCATTGGCAGCCATACATGCCCACGCCATAACACTACCTCCACCATGCCTCACAGATGAGGTGGTATGCTTAGGATCATGAGCAGTTCCTTCCCTTCTCCATACTCTTCTTTTCCCATCATTCTGGTACAAGTTGATCTTTGTCTCATCTGTCCATGGGATGTTGTTCCATGGACAGATGTTTTTATGGTAAATCTGGTCTTCCTGTTTTTGAGGCTTACCAATGGTTGTGGTAAACCCTCTGTATTTACTCTGGTGAAGTCTTCTCTTGATCGTTGACACAGATACGCTTTGTGCACGGGGGCATTGTCATGCTGAAACAGGAAAGGGCCTTCCCCAAACTGTTGCCACAAAGATAGAAGCACAGAATCGTCTAGAATGTCATTGTATGCTGTAGCGTTAAAATTTCCTTCACTGGAACTAAGGGGCCTAGCCCGAACCATGAAAAACAGCCCCAGACCACTATTCCTCCTCCACCAAACTTTACAGTTGGCACTATGCATTCGGGGAGGTAACGTTCTCCTAGCATCCGCCAAACCCAGATGGTGACGCATGAGTCATCATTCCAGAGAACCTGTTTCCACTGCTCCAGAGTTCAATGGTGGCGAGCTTTACACCACTCCAGCCGACGCCTGGCATTGTGCATGGTGAATTTAGGCTTGTGTGCGGCTGCTCTGACAAAGAAACCCATTTCATGAAGCTCCTGACAAACAGTTATTGTGCTGACGTTGCTTCCAGAGGCAGTTTGGAACTTGGTAGTGAGTGTTGCAACCGAGCTTCAGCACTCTGCGGTCCCGTTCTGTGAGCTTGTGTGGCCTACCACTTCGTGGTTGAGCCGTTGTTGCTCCTAGACGTTTCCACTTCACAATAACAGCACTTACAGTTGACCGGGGCAGCTCTAGCAGGGCAGATATTTGACAAACTGACTTGTTGGAAAGATGGCGTCCTATGATGGTGCCATGTTGAAAGTCACTGAGCTCTTCAGTAAGGCCATTCTACTGCCAATGTTTGTCTACGGAGATTGCATGGCTGTGCTCAATTTTATACACCTGTCAGCAACGTGTGTGGCTGAAATAGCCAAATCCACTAATTTGAAGGGGTGTCCACATACTTTTGTATATATAGTGTAGGTCCCTAATCCCTACTGAAAAACATGTTACCATCATCATCTTCATTCTTCATCATTGTTATGATATACTGGGACACAGATTAGGCCTAGTCCTAACTGGACTAAAAATCACCTTCAATGGAGAATGAACATGCTTTTTAGTCCAGGACTAGGCTTAATCTGCGTCCGGGAAACCGGACCATAATCTTCAGTTAAATGTAGTTATGATAAACACACCAAGAGTCCACATAAAGGGTTCAACCACTCTGGTACAGAAGACATTACAGACAGCACAGTCAGATTAAGGTAACACGACACACAGACGCTAGCCTACGTCCTATCCAGTACACACAGTTGTCTGAAGCCCAATCAAAATCAGACAGTGAACAAATGTCTCAGTGGACTTTGACAAACAGATTTTAAAATGCCCTCAGGTGTAGGCCTACCTTTAACCAAACAGATCTATGATCCCCATCTGAAGCGAAACACAAAACATTAAAGTGTCCCAGATGTCCTTTGTCCCCGGGGACCTGGTCACAGAAAAAGGAGGTCAGTGATCTAAACGGTTGTATAGATGTGAAATAATCAGCCATTGAAATAGAACATGCCCGGCAACCCTGCCCGGCAACCACTACTGCACATCGAGCTATGATCTAGGCTACTCCTGTAGCTAGCTGAATGTTCCAATATCAGCACACCATAAACCAAATGTTGCATCCCAAATGGCACCCTAGTCCTTACATAGTGCACTGTCCCTATGGGCCCTGGTCAACAGTAGTTCACTATATAGGGTGCCATTTTGGAAGCAGTCCAGGTCTTTCAGTGACCCTCTCTTAAATCACACTTAAGCATATTATTCTATTAGGCGTCACACTACAAATCCCATGGTGGTCACAGCCACAGCCAAGGTCAAGCATCGACCCCTCCTTTCAGAGACACTTGATGCAGTTTAATTAACACACATTGCCCACAGATGTGTCAGCCCATAGAATGATACTTACTAGAATGGAAATCCCCATTCAAGTCAACATTCCAAATTCAATGTCTATGTGTCAGCCCAGATGGCCTTCCCCAGGATGCCGTCAGTCTATTTCTTAGAGGCTCCAAGAGGGCGCATCCTAAATGACACCCTATTCCCTACATAATGCACTACACTCTTAGAAAAAAAGTGCTATCTAGATCCTAAAAGGGTTCTTCGCTGTCCCCATAGGAGAACCCTTTTGGTTCCATGTAGACCTGGAACCCAAAAGGGTTCTCCTATGGGGACAGCCAAAGAACCCTTTAGGAACCCTTTTTTCTAAGAGTGTCACGGATTCAGCTGAGGCTGTCCCTCCGTTCGTTGTCACCGGAGTACTAGCTGCTACCGATCCATGTATCGATGTTCGACTTGTTCTGTCTTTATTGGTTACACCTGTTTCCCATGATGTAGTGATGTCTTCCCTATTTAACCCTCTGTCTTACACTGTGTGCTGTGTGTGTTTGTTATTGTTTCGGCTGTCGTTAGTGTGCGGGTTTGTTCCCTCCCTGTGTGGAGGTTGTGGTTATTTGTTTTACCTTCGAGTAAAGTATGTCTTCTGATCAGCTCTGTGTCCTGCACTTGACTTCGCCTACCGCAATTCACTGACGCCCTGACAGAAACACACACGATCTACATGGAGTATGCCAGCCGGATCGATGGAGGAACGCGTACAACAACAAGCGGCCATGATCCAGGCTCTCGGCACCGCCATGGAACGAGTGGTGAACAAGATGGGAGAGAGGAGGTCTTCCTATACCTCCTCCGATTACACCACCACCTACACCGATATCCATCGCTTCACCTCCTGGGTCCAGTGGGATTCGGCTCTCGCTCCCGAGGGCTTATGACGGTACAGCTGCCGGGTGTCAGGGTTTTCTGCTCCAGGTAGAGCTCTACCTGGCAACCATCCACCCGGCTCCCTCGGGATACGAGAGCGTGTCCGCCCTCATCTCCTGTCTGTCCGGTAAAGCGCTGGAGTGGACCAACGCCGAGTGGGGGGGAATAGACGCTGCAAATGTCAGCTATGCAGAGTTCACCCGCCGCTTTAGGGCGGTATTCGATCATCCACCAGAGGGGAGAGCGGCGGGTGAGCGTCAATTCCACCTCAGACAGGGGAAGAGGAGCGCGCAGGAATTCGCACTGGACTTTCGGACTCTGGCTGCCAGCGCAGGATGGAATGAGAGGGCCCTCATCGACCACTACCGCTGTAGTTTGAGGGAGGACGTTCGTCGGGAATTGGCCTGCAGGGACACCAACCTAAACCTGGGCCAACTGGTGGACATGTCGATTCGACTGGATAACCTGTTGGCTACCCGCGGAAGTCCGGATCAGGGGCCGTCCATTCCATCCCCCAGCACCTCCGACCCTACCCCTTTGGAGCTTGGAGGTGCTGCTATGAGGGAGACCAGTAGAGGGGCCGTCCCCTGCACCAACTGTGGCCGCAGAGGACACACTGCTGGTCGGTGCTGGGCCTCCAAGGAGTCAAGGCAGTAGGCAGCGCACTGATGAACCGTTTCAGGTGAGTAGGCACCCAACTCACCCAGAGCTCCCTGTTGCGCATATGTGTATGAATGTTGTGTTTCCCGAGTTTTCTTCTCATTCCCAGCATAAAGCGCTAGTAGATTCAGGCGCAGCTGGGAACTTCATTGATCGTCAGTTTACCCGTAAGTTAGGGATTCCTATTGTGCCAGTCGAAGTGCCCTACCCTATTTTTTTTAGGGGCCTTTAGGGTCAGGTCTGATTAGGGAAGTCACAGCGCCCCTCAGGATGAAGACGCAG